CCCCCCCCGCTGCCCGCTACTCCTACTACGTCTCATCGCGCGTCGGCTCGATCCTCCCTCTACGGACAGGTCCTAGGCCAAGGATATCCTGAAATCGTAACGCGCACAAAAAGGAAGTAGTTAACTCGGCGTTATCCGTAGTGTATAGATAATAGATACCATGACACTCAGACAGTCATTCATGGCATCCCATCCCAAAGTCAGGTGCTTGTGTCTCCATATTAACCCATAAAATCAATTCTATATTCGTACCTGGAAGGATACTGCTCAAAACTTTTCAGGAGTATCGAAAGTAATCCATATACTACAAATCAGGGGGGGGTCTATTTCGTGTACAGCAGTACCGAAGTACCGCGGGCCATCCACAAAGATGCGTTCGTTTCGAACGTCAACTTCTCTAGATGTGGTCTAGGGTTCAGAAAAGTCGCTTCCACCCTCTCTTGATCACCAAAAACCACGGACCCTGCTCCGACAAATAGTGAGCGTATCCCGCCGCGTGCTTTTTGATATTTCCACAGCAGTTTGACATGTGTAGTCTATGTTTAGTTTAAGACAACCCAATTTGCTGTGCTGCGGTGCATGTATGCAGACCTGCGTTTCGGATCTTTCCAGCATAGCGCAACAATATTGAACTTTGATCTCAACATGCTTATCTTCTGACGGATCAAATCGCTCCAAACCTTTTGTAAAAGATGTCAACAGTACCTGAGTGCATGATGTTGGCGACATTTCGTTGCAACACGATAGACTCGTGGAGAGACTGCAGCGCATCCGACCCTTACTCGGAGATTTCCGAGTTGTCCTACGGTGGTACGCCCTGAGAAAAAACTGGAAATCTACCACTACGGACTAGCCTGTAAAATAAAACAAAGGCTGCACGGTTGACAGATAGCTACCTCACCTATCTCAGCCGGAATGTCGACGCTCCCAGCCCTGCTGCGCTCTATGAAGCCGGNTCCGAGTTGTCCTACGGTGGTACGCCCTGAGAAAAAACTGGAAATCTACCACTACGGACTAGCCTGTAAAATAAAACAAAGGCTGCACGGTTGACAGATAGCTACCTCACCTATCTCAGCCGGAATGTCGACGCTCCCAGCCCTGCTGCGCTCTATGAAGCCGGCCGTGGGAGGCGAGGTCTTCAGTTGTTGCGCCGCAAGAAATCGAGGGGTTTCAGCAGGGGATGCCTTCCCGCCCGAGGCGTTATGTCTCACACTTTTTTTTTGTATCAGACGTGCAGCACTGGGACCCACGCACCGATGGTGTATGACTTATAAATAAACCCCGGCTATAGGTGGTTCATCTTATTTTTCGCTAACTTCGACCCGTGGCTCTCTGCAACCTCGCCGGTCTAACCACCGCGCCCCTGCGTCTTCGGGCCAGTGGGCATCCGGCTCCGCACAGAACCGTGTAGTAATTCCCGTGCAACCTCAAGCCACGGATCCTCTTACGCACAACTACAACTCGTGGCCTGCTTCGCAAGCCGACTGATCTGATGTATACGCCCTCACCGCCAATTTTCGTAACACCGATGATCCTTTTTTATGGACTCCTTTGTTGACACAAGAGGCTCGTTCGCAAGCCTTCCGCGAAAACAGAAACCGCTGTCTGAACTGCTCGGGTGATGACCATTCTATGAAGCAATGTGCTTCTCCCTTCACGAATTCTAGCGGGTTGTTGAATCCCGAGTTGGGTCACCTCAATGACGACTCTGCAGCTTTTAGGCGTTGGCAAGGTCGCATGCGATCCTTCACGCGTAAGGGTTCAGATGGACGCAACAAGAATCAGGGTAGACGCCATCGGCAGTCTTCTTCCTCCTCTCAGCGTTGAAACCACGCTGGGCCTCGCCGTTCCGACGGTGGTAGTTCCTCTCACAATCACCACCAACAATCACTCCACAGTGGTCAAACCTCGGGACATTCCGCGGGTAACCATCATCATACACAACAGACGTCTGGCAACACCCACCACCTTGGTGCTCTGTCCGTCTATCAACCCCAATCGCATGCTCAAACTAGTCCCTCGTCTGGCGTCGTGGTTTCGACCAATCACAACGCACGCCAGCCTGGTAACTTCCACAATGGCGGCCGTTCGGGTACCGGATGACTCCCCGACGGTGGTTCGCCTCCTTCCCTCGGACCGCGTCCAGCATCTTTGGGAACTTCGTCTCGCTCAAAACAAGACGCGCGTGTATCACCCTCAGTTGCCTCTAGCACTTCGGTCCTAAGCAACCACAACAATACTTCGGTAAATGTTCTCCCTACGCGCTCTCGCACTTCGGTGCCATCCAATGACAGCGGTACTCGGATACACGCTGTGTCTTCAAGTGTCGATCAGGTCGGTATTCCGCCAAATGCTCAAATTCCACCTTCGCCATCGCACTTATCGTCTGCGACCTCTGCACCCTCGCCTCGTCGGATTGCTGCTTCGTCGGAAACTAATCAATCTGACGTGAGTGCTGCCTTGAGGTGTGGGAACAGACCCGTTGGACCTTCGGGCCCAAAGAGTTCTCCTCGTTCGTCGAGCACCTCTCGTTCGCTCCCCCCGTCGTCTGCAGACAGGATCGGCAGTAGCCATGACCTTTGGAAGAATTGCCCGGATTGATTGCCTCAGGTGCTTCTTCGGATACGCTCAATTCGTCTATGCTCGCTTCCGTTGCAGGCCCGCCTTCGACTGTTGCACCGGNACCTCTGCACCCTCGCCTCGTCGGATTGCTGCTTCGTCGGAAACTAATCAATCTGACGTGAGTGCTGCCTTGAGGTGTGGGAACAGACCCGTTGGACCTTCGGGCCCAAAGAGTTCTCCTCGTTCGTCGAGCACCTCTCGTTCGCTCCCCCCGTCGTCTGCAGACAGGATCGGCAGTAGCCATGACCTTTGGAAGAATTGCCCGGATTGATTGCCTCAGGTGCTTCTTCGGATACGCTCAATTCGTCTATGCTCGCTTCCGTTGCAGGCCCGCCTTCGACTGTTGCACCGGTAGCTAACTTGACTGGTTCCGACCGGCAAGTTTTAGGGTCAAATTCGTCTGACTTCGAATCGCATTGTCCCCCTGGTTCCGACCACCGGACATCCTCAGATTCCGCCACGCGACATTTCGACCGTGGGTCGTCTTTACAAGACCCACCTTTTCCGACGTACGCTCGCACAACGGCACCCACTTCTAGGCTGCTGCGACCGACGTGGACCGTGTTGACACCACCGCTTCGGGAGGACGCCCCCGAAGTGACCTCCCAACAGCCGGCGGTCTCGCGTACCTGGTCACGGGGGAATAGCCAGGAGCGCCATGCTCGGTTCAGTTCTTCAACTCACCCGGCTTTGGCAGCTGTTCCCAGCGAAAGCGACCTGTTGCCGAACACCTTACGAGGCGTTTCTTCAGGTTTAGAATTGGGGTGCACCCAGTTCCGAACAATCCGACTCAAGTCGATTCTTCGTCGGTTCCCGCTGTTACAAGGACCACCCCCATGGATGTGCATACTGTCCATCATGACTCCGCATCTTCGGCTGCGACTCCAGCTTCGTCTAACAGCACTCAGGGCGCTCCGGCCTCTGTTGCTTCGGCCGTTTTCGACCCGTCTACCGAGTATTGTACTCCAGACATGGTTTTCTTTTGGAAGCCGCCTTGCCTTTTTCCCAATGGACACCGTCGACCTTCACGGTCGATGGCGTTGTTTACTCGTGTGCCGAAAAACTTTTCGCTGCAGAAGAAGCCCGTCTTTTCGGAGATCGCTGGGCTTTGCAGAACATCATGCGAGTGTCAGACCCGGCCTTACACAAAAAGCTTGGCCATGAGGTCCGTGGTTTGTTCGACCAATCTCTTTGGGAACAAGAACGCGAAAACATTGTGCTCACCGGCTCTTCCGCAAAAATTAGTCAACATTCCGAGTTACGAAATCATCTCCTCGGATCTGGTGGCAAAATCCTTGCCGAAGCCAGTCCTTACGACCGTCTTTGGGGCATTGGCCTCCAGGCCGATCATCCTGACGCTGGATGCACATCTAGATGGCGCGGCCTCAACCTGTTAGGCACCGCCCTACAGAACGTACGTCTTTTACGACACCGTGCCCCGCCTCCCGAGCGCAGCTTTCGTTTGCTGCCTCCGACCGACCACGTTCCGACGTCGTCCCTTCATTCTGCGGTGTATGAAGTTGACCATTCCACACACCAGCGCCTTCGGACGGCTTCGTGCCCTCCATCGACCGACCGGTTCGCGTCATTTTCGCAATACGCTCCGAATGTCCCGTCGGATCACGACACCGCCGTTTGGGCCGTGTCTTCAGAATACATCCCGTCGTCCTCCTCCTCGCTCCCAGAGCAAGGTCCGGATTTGGTTGGTGGCGTTGTCACCATCGATGACAACTCTTTCACCAGAATACTCCTCCACAGCGGTTCGGCCTCTGTGCAGTTTGGGTGTACCGCTCTTTTGGATATGGGTTCTCCACAGTCTTTTATTAGTGCTTTTGCATGGGAATCCATGAAAGCGGCTTCGGCTGCTTCGTCGTTGTCTGAAAAACACACCCAACCTCGCTGTTGGGGGGGTTTTGGGAAATCTGCCCCGCTCCAAACTTCGACCATTGTCCGTTTGAGTGTTCAGTTTCTCCGTAAGAACCTTCCTACTTCCTCCCTTGCTGTTTGGGCATACGTTGTTTCTGACGGCGTCATGAATCATGACGTGCTCCTCGGCAGCGATAGTTGGATGCGGTTGAGTGACCGTTCTTACAGCACTTTGCGTGCGAAACGTCCTGGTGGCCGTGTCTTTGGTGAGCTTACTTTAGCCCAACATGACACTTGTGGTGCCACTGCATTTGCTCACGATCTGTCCGCAACAGATGGAAGTTACCAACTTCGCTATGCAGGCAAACATTCCTTTCAACTTCACCCAGAGCATAGATTCATTCAGGTCAATTTGGTATGCAATGATGGTTCGCCTGCCCTTGTGGGTAACTATTTGGTGGATATGCTCCCCCAATGTGTCATGTTTTCTTCCGAAGAACATTTTGTGCAAAATGGTTACCAACGAATCCCTCTTGCGGGCATCTCGTCTCTCGAACCCGGCGACGTCCTGGGTGGGTACAGCTTCGGCTCCCCTTCTTCGCGTGCCTTTTAGCGCTGTTTCTCGCCACAGTTTGAGTGATGGTCTTGAAACTGCGGCTTCAGAACCCACCGCTGCTTCAGACAGCTGGGTCCCTGGTCCTGTTTCTGCGGGTGGCATTGATTCGTCTGCCACGCACTCCGTCTCTGACCCCTTCGTGTATAGTTTAAATGAGCGACCCATCCCGTCGCCAAGCGACCGAGGGGACTTTGGTTCCGCCAGTTCTCCCTCTTCGTCGCCTCCGCCTGCTCTTCTCGAGCGGTTGACGCCAGAACAGCGCCAAAGTTTCTCTCAAGTCTGGGAAAAGCTCCCCTGCCATCTCCGTGAGATAAGTTTTGATCTCCACGGCCCGGGTTGGACTCCCGATGTCATTACTCAGCTTGGTAACGTTGTGTATNCGTCACGTCTCGCCCCTACCGCGTTAATCCCCCGGTGGCGAAACAAGTTGACGCCATCCTTGACCAATATCTTGCGGCAGGTTTGATCCAACATTCGACCTCGCCTTACTCGAGCCCTTTGGTAGTCATACCGAAGAAATCTGGTGGTGTTCGCATCACCGTCAATTATCGTAAGCTCAACAAGCTTTGTGCTTTGAGTCAGCTTCCGATTCCTCGAGTCGATGATACTTTGGACAAGTTGTCGAAAGGGCGAATTTATTCCCTTTTCGACTTGAAATCTTCGTTCCACCAAATCACGGGGCACCGCGATACAATCCCTTTAACGGCATTCGTGACGTCTTCCCGGCTTTTCGAGTGGTTGAAGATGCCTCAAGGCAGTTCGGCTGCCCTGGGTGGTTTTGCAAAGTTATCAACGAAGTCATCAAAAATCTCCACGGTGTTGCATCGTACTTGGATGATTTGATCGTCTTTCATGACACCCCTGCTACTCATGTTAGTACCATGCGCGCACTCTTTGAACGCTTGCGTACGCACAACTTGAAACCCACGCCTCCGAAAGCTACTATTGGCGCTATTGAAGCGGACTCCCTCGGACACACCATCTCCCCTGACGGCGTTAGGCCTAACGGTGCCAAGGTTTCGGCCCTGACCAAAATGCCTATGCCCAGGAATGTCAAGCAACTGCGTTCCCTTCTCGGTGGTCTCAGCTACTACTGTAAGTTCCTCCCCAACATGGCTAAACGCGTTCGACCTCTGACTACTCTACTCAAGAAGAAGGAGAAGTTTATCTTCACCCCTTCAATGGAGCAAGCCGTTCGCGTTTTGTTAGCTGAGTCCGCCAATTCAGACGGCTCGCGACCTTTTCATCTTCACATTGATGCTAGTCACGATGGGTTTGGTGGGACTCTCGAACAAGAACAGCCAGATGGTTCCATTCGCCCAATTGTCTTCATCAGTCGTGCTACTTTGGACTAAGAACGCCACTGGACTCCCCTCGATCTCGAAGCGGGTAGCATCGTGTGGTGTATCAAGCGCCTTCGCGGCTACTTGTGGGGTACAAAATTTCGCATTTTTCCCGACCACAAATCTCTCGAGCATTTTGCTAAGGTGGGGGAGAACAATGCCCGCGTTCAGCGCTGGCCGGAATTTCTTACCGCCTACAATTACACTCTCGAGTATCGCAAGGGTTCCGCAAATGGCAACGCTGATTTCCTCTCACGCCTCCCAGTCGCTGCGGCTAAATGCGACCGTTCGGGTCGCAGCCGTCTGACCCCGGCTGAGGATGAAGAGGCGATGTTTTTCATCCATTCGTGTGGCCATTCCCCTTCCGGTGATCGGGCCGCGGGTATTGGCTTGGGTGGGCTAGTTCCTAATTCCCCGACTTCGGTCTTGGGTGGGCTTGCCTCCTGTACGGCTGACTTCGCTGATTTCCGTCGGCACGGTCCGCGTCTACCGTCACCAGGCCCCTCGTCTTCATCGGGCATTTGGAATGTCGCTTCCTTGTCGTCCAAGATCGCTCCCTTGCCATCCGAGAGGTTCTGCCGTTCGGCGCGGTCGCAATTGCGCAATCGACCTCCCATCGTTTGGTCCGGTTCCCTACCTCAGTCTTTCGATGATGTTTTGGCTCCCGAGCCCAAGCCTCCGGCTGCCGTTCCCGCTCTTGGAAACCCGCGTCGGATTCTCGACCCCACCCAAGTGATCTCCACCAGGACTCGCCGTCGCAAGGCAGCTGTGGCAGGCACGCCACTTCCGCCTGTTGATTATGGATTTTCTGACGATGAGCCTTCTTTGTCGNCATCGTTTGGTCCGGTTCCCTACCTCAGTCTTTCGATGATGTTTTGGCTCCCGAGCCCAAGCCTCCGGCTGCCGTTCCCGCTCTTGGAAACCCGCGTCGGATTCTCGACCCCACCCAAGTGATCTCCACCAGGACTCGCCGTCGCAAGGCAGCTGTGGCAGGCACGCCACTTCCGCCTGTTGATTATGGATTTTCTGACGATGAGCCTTCTTTGTCGCCCACGCGGATTTCCGCTCCCTCTCGACCGTTTCGGCGGTCTCCGACGGCGACGAAGGCGCCGTCGATGACACCAGCCCTGCCCAGTCGGGTTTCGACTGGTGCTGGTGGTTTATCCTCAACTCCCTCCGCGCCTCTGGCTCATGGAGTGGAGCCTGCGTCGCCGACGCCTACCACAACTGCGGTTGTTCCTGCTTTGCAGCCTCCTGCAGACCCCGACTCTTCGGAGTCTTTGTCGCGTTTGGTGTCAACCGCTCGCGCGCATTCGCCTTCGGCCTCCATTGCTCCTCTATCCTCGGATGGGTTGCAGTCGGCGCCTCGCGAATCAGCCCCCTCTTCTATCGAGGCGGTTTTACATTCTTCGGTGGATTTAGCCTTCCGGGCGTCCGTCGACCGTTTCTCGCATTCTGATTGGACTCGCGAGCAACGTAACGAACCTTTGTTTGATGCAGCCATTCGTTTCATCCTTCTGGATCGCCCTTCGGCCCTCCCTTCGGATTTCTTGGGCCGTGTTCCGCCCGCTCGTCGACCCTCTCTTTCGGAGATTCGTGACCTGCCTAACAGAGGCCGGTTGCATGTTGACGATGATGGTTTGGTCGTGCTTGTTCGCAAGCAAACAACGACCCCTTCGTCCACGACCGCACGTCCTGGCGGACGTGCTGCTCGCCTTCCTAACGATGAACCCATCGGATTTATGTTCCCATGCTCATGCGTCCGTGGATGATGCAAGTCTGCCACGCTGATGCGTCCTGTCACCTCGGTGCGGCTCGCACGCTTAGCATGCTGGAACGTTTCTATTGGTGGATTGGCATGAGTGTTTGTACGAAATGGTGGGTGCGGCATTGTTTGCGATGCCAAGCCCGTAAATCGTCTCGTCAGACTCCTCGGTGGCCTACCATGTCCCTTCCTTTGCCTTCGGGCCCTGGTGTGTCGGTGAGTGTTGACTATTTTGGTCCACTTCCGTTGACACCGCGTGGCAACACATACATTCTGCCCTTTACAGACCGTTTCAGCCGCCTTGCTGATGTACGCGGTTACGGCTGCAGAATTCACCGCCGAAGGCACAGCTGACATCCTTGCCAACAGGTATATCCCTTTGTGGGGTTACCCGTTGAGTCCTTTGTCTGACAACGGCTCTCAGTTTTGCTCTAAACTATCCCAAGCCGTGTATGCCCGTCTTGCTATCCGCAAAGTGACTACTAGCTCGTACCATCCCAATGGAAATGGGGGTGTGGAGCGCGTCAATCACACTATGGCTCAAATGTTGGCTATGGTTGTCAACGAACGACAAGATGATTGGGACATTCATCTCCCACACGTCGCGTTTGCTTACAACAATTTCGTTAGCGCCGCTACCGGTTTAGCGCCCAATGAGGTGCATATGAATCGATTGCCTCGTTTACCGATGACTGTTCTTGAGCATCCTTACGCTCGTGGCCACCAAAGCTTGCATCGTGATCAACTCGAATATTGCGATCTTGCTGCTGATCGCCAACGTCGTTCTTACGACTTGGTGCGTGAACAGCATAATAACCTGTCCGTTTCGCGGATTGAGCGGCGTAATTCCACCCTATCGGACGCCTTCCATAAGCTTCCTCCTTGCACTGTTGGTGGATGGGTTTGGGTGTATAACTCCGAATCTACTATTCGACAAGGCCTTCGTTCAGGCACAGATGATAAGGTTCTCAAAGCTAAGTTATCTCTACTCTGGACTGGCCCCTTCAAAACCTTGGCTGTCGGTCCATGTTCTGACAGTCCTGACGGTCGTCCTTTGGCTTCCAAGTTGCTTTCCTTGGATCTTCCTTCGGACTTGCCGGGCCAAGACTCGAAACCTCGTGTTTTGGTTGTGCGTTGCAAGCCTTGCGCCAACCCGCATGACACCGATGACCTGCCGCGCTTTCTGCCTGCTGGTCTTACTCCGTATGTCCTGAAGTCTTATGCGAGCAAATCTCCTCCCTACCATGTTACGGAAGACGATGTGTCAACTCCGGTTGAACGTTTAGAGGCGAAAGCATTAGTGGCCACCAGTCCGTCCGTGGTCGTGGGGGCACGATAGCTGTTTTATATCAGACACACTGGCAGGGCCTTCTGCGCCCTTCTTGGGAGCGTGAGATGGACCTGCAGCATTCCAAGCCGCACATTCTCCGGTACTGGGCAGGTTCGCCTGACCAACATCGCCAAACAAATCGCCGTTATCGTGCGATGCGCACTAGAGCCGCTACCAGGGAATTGGCGCGTGATCAAGGTACGCGAGCTTTGCCTTCGGGCTACTCGCTTGTTTCCCGTTCAACATGGGACCGTCGCTTCGCCAACACCCCTCTACCGGTGGGCGCCTTCTTCTGGTACAAGACACAAGATGGACTCTGGTGGTTGGGCAAGATTTCTGGACCACCTCTGCCGTCTGACTTCTACGTCGTCCGCTTCTTGTACGATCCTGGACCTGTCAAGCTCGCCCTTCCCGATGTTTGCTACTCTACCGTTGAAACCGCCGTCTCCGGATCCTGGTGCCTCCAAGTACACAGCGGCAGCGCTCTATTCAAGGGTGTTCTTCGCAACATCGACATGTCGCGTGGCGACGTTGTGACCGCTTTGTTGTCTGATGACGTCGCGCGCCCACATTAAAATGGCATGCTTGGTTGTTTTTGGCTTCTGTTGCTCTTGCAATAGCATTAGATAGACCATTTGTTTTCGTTTTCTCGTTTTCTTTCTTTTGTTCAATAGTCCGCCAGGTCGAGCTTTCTCTGTTCCCTGCCGAGGTTTTGCCAGCTGTTGTTTAGTGTCACGACCCCTTTTCTTCTTGGTTTCGCTTCCGAAACCTTTGGTTTCCAGCCTTTTTGGTACGTTGTGATGCTTTTGTACTTTTTCGTATATATGTATCTCTACTTCTCAGAGTTTGCGGGCTGAAGGAGTTTCGTGACCTTTGTTGTCGCTCCGACGCTACCGTGGTGATTATTTGGCGTATCTTATCGTTTTGTCGATATAGGCCTTTCCTTTCACCGTTCCTTTTTCGTCGCTCCGGCGACGCTTATTTTGTTCGTTTCTTTCATGTCTTCTTTTCCCCTGTCTTTTGGGTTCTGACCTGTTATGGTATTTGTAGCCTTCGACTGTTGCGGCTCTCCTCTTCGTTTCCGATCTTTTAGCCCCAGTTTACACTTTCTGTACCTTCTTATTCTAGGTCAAACGATGGTCTTGCGACCCATCAAGTGAGAGGTGTGGGAGGGTAAATTGTGGTATTTTGGAGCTCCGCATCCTCGATACTTTCATTTGGGATTTGACAAGTAATTGTCAAGTTCCGAGATTTAGTTATCTGCGTATGAGAACCTCCAGGGTGGGCTAGCTAGTGTTATGGGATTTGAATGTGTAGGAAAGTACAAACGGTAGTGCGGGCTAACGCCCAGAGAAAAGTGCGGGAGATGCAACTCCCCACGGAAGGACAGAACAGGGGACAGGATCTAGTAGCCGCTGCTTTAGCAGCTGATCCTGGCCCCATCCTAGTCAGCCCTCTACCTTCCCTTGGCAACAGCTACTGCTGTTCCACACGAGTTAATAACAAGTGAGTTCGTCTTCACGGGTCTCCCAGATTGCACCGCGCGTGCATATCCTTTACAATTGTCAACTAGTTATATTTGTCCTGACAACTAATTTGAACATTTTGAGCTCGAAAGTGAGGGGGCGGGGGATCGGAGGGAGCCCAGCCTAATGTCATTGGATGGAAGACTAAGATTGGTTCCGGCAACGTGCATCCTCGAATCAATAGTGCGTGCATGTATCTGAGCCACCGTCATCAAGACGTAAATCAAGAAGATAAGTCAATCGAAGCGACAAAAAATACGTTGAGTTATGCCCCGGCAATATATTACATTACGTCCATCATCAGCCCGTGCGTGTGCGTGCTTTTATTATTAGCATCGACCGCGCTAACCGGCTGACCAATGAAAATGCGTGTGTGTGTGTGGCCCGTGCC